GAGTTAATAATTAAATTAACTTCTTACAACTAACTCCATAGTCATAAAATTAACTCGTAAAACATTAACTCCCTTCACTTCAACTCGAAAAGGGTGGGACATTTATAGCATCCCCCCGAAATTTCAGTTGAAAGTAAGTAAAGTTGAAATTCAACTCCTTTTTTTACAGTGCAATACATCAGGATGTGCCAACAATACATTTCTTTCCGTGTGGAACCCTCATGCCGGACATTTCTAAATACATAAAATTATATTATTGAGTATTAATTTACTTAAGATTTAATTAAACGTTAACAATATTGTACAGCTATAAGATATTAAAGCTTTGTTTTTGAAATTATATTTAGACTAGAAAATATTCTATTGTTGGGAAGCATATCTATGTTAATAGCATGTACCTTTAGATGTCGTTGATAATTGCTTATTTCAAGATACCAACTTGAACATTATGAAGATATACGACTATAGCAATAATTTCTCATTTCTTGTGTATTTATTATTGGATTTTTAAAATAATTCTAAATTTTCTGAAAAGTTTTTCATATTTGATTGTAAATGCTTGAAAAATTTATTTATCTATTTTTAATAAAAAAAATAAGTGTAAATCACGTATTCGTATGATTGCTGTTATATATTGTAATCATTCTCGCATGTTTTTAGTCTTTAACAAGTCCGGACAATTTTCTCTGCCAATGTCAACTGTTTGGAACTAATACTTATAATAATAATAATAATACATACATACATACTAATACATAGATATTTTTGACTAAAATTTTGCAGGACTAAATCCGGATTCGATACACAGATTTCAGATTATTCAAAACTCTCCCCTTCAATTATTATGTATGCTAATTATGTACATATACAAATTCCAGACTCAACTTTTAGAGTTGAGTTTTTCTATTGAACTACTTTCGAATTATTGCGGACTAATTATGGATTAATTTCATGTAAATTTCGGATTTATTTCTGATTTGTCTTTTCATCCGGACTGATACAAATCATTTTCGGATAAATATAATATAATGCAAATACGTTTACTTAATTTTGAAATTTTTTTATGCATTTATAAAGGTAACGTATTTGCTTAACGTACTGTGGTAAAAGCTTACATGATAATACAGACAAGATAAAGACTTAAACGGCTCTGCCGAGTGACATTGTAAGACGAAGATAACGAATAAATAAGGATGGCTTAAGCTGGTTTCTTTTACGCGGTTTTGTGAAGAAGATTACAAATCAGATTTCAACTAATGGGGTAGGCGTTGAAACATTTATTTATTGTACTTAAATAAAATAAATCCTTCACACTTTTAATAAAGAAGAACATTCTTTCGTTACTTTTATAATTTAAACAAAATATTTGACATGTTAATTTCGTTCTCAAAATAAAAAAATTTCTTTTGATATTACAATTTTTATATACTTTTCAATAAAAATCTTAAACGACGATTAGAACGATCAAAACTTACATTACTGCATCATGAAGGCCAGCCTTAACTGTCGTGTATGCAATTTATGTGATTTGATGATCAGAAAATAATAATAAAAATCAGCACTTTATTTTTTATGGTAAAAACATATGAAAATGATGATATTTAGTATGCATCTCTAGAAATAAAAATGAGAAACGGTGGAGTGGAGGTATTGGGGTGTAGTTTATCTTCTTAGTCGGATAAGACCAAGACAATAATAGATGACTTCGGTCAGTTTCAGGGCTGTGAAGAGAATAAAATGTATTCGATTAGGATACGTTCTAATAGAAAACTATAATTTTTATATGTTTGCTCGGCCGGCTTCAGTTTTGCAATAATGTAAGTATTGGTTTTGGTAACAAAATGCATAGGACATAAAAGAAACTATAAGGCTTTTAATGTAAGTAGTATGTCATTCTTATCTTTTCGTAAACTTAAGATGTCCTTGCAATTAAATTTTCTGAGGTAAAATGTTTAGAGTTGAAAAAAAATTGAATAGAATAATTTAAAATGATCAAATTTACTAAATTTAAGGATATTTTTATTTCATAGTCTTTTAACGTTTCCCAAGTAGCACGTAATATTACAGCAATATTACCCGGTAATATTACTGTAATATTACAGTGATATTCACTAAGCACCATTTATTTTTATTTTATAAAGTTTTTGTAACTTAATAAACCTGCATTAAGGTGTAACTCATTAGCTTTATCTAATTTAATACAAACTATACACTTTTTTAAGAAAGTTACTTTTATAGTAGGGTCAGGGAAAAGAGGTTTTTGAGCTAAATTTACAGCTTTAAAATTAAGTTCAACGTCAATGTTTTAACCTCAGATCACCTGGAAAAGGTTTCGATTATTGCCAAGTTTTTATCTTGACAATTGGCAGCAAGATAATTCAAGTTATCGCTTAATGCATAAAAACTTGAAAATCAAAGTCAAACTGTTTCAGTATTTTGTCTCCTTATGACTCCTATAACAGAAATTCACTTGAATTTTTTATTTTTGTCAATTTGGTTAATAATGACAAGTTGTCCCTATTTACCCTGAGTTTTCAAATTTTTGGGGTAAATGGGGACAGCTTGTCATTATTAACCAAATTAACAAAAATTCAAGTGAATTTCTGTTGTGGGAGTCATAAGGAATAAGAAAAAAATTTGGTATGATTTTTAAGTCTGTTTTTTTTCAAATGCGAGACAAAATACTGAAATAAAAAAAAATAAAAAAATTTCAATTGGTTTAACTATTATATATCTACTAAAAATTTTTTTCAAGTTTTTTCATCCCTTAATACAGTAATATACTTACGGAAACTTTTTTCTTAAAACTTTCTTAGAAACTATGCTGTCCCCATTTACCCCAAATTTTATGAAATTTTCTAAATTTTGGGGTAAATGGGACAGTCAGTTCCATGCGTTTAAAGCTTATCTAAATTTTTTCTGCTGCCCAAGTAGCACGATATATCAACCAGATGTCACGGTGATATCACCGGGGAATGTCACCGTGACATCAGCAAAATGTCAAAATGTCCGCCTTATGGTGATATCACACGGTGACATCGAGGTGATATCATGGTGACATCAAGGTGATATCACAGTCATATCACGGTGATATCATGGTGATATCATGGTGATATCATGGTGATATCATGTTGATATTTTACAGGGACTTAAAATTTTTAATAATTTAAAAAATAATAATAAATAAAAAAAGTAATAAAAAAAAGAAAAATAATAATTTTTTAAAAATTTTAAGTTCTTGTAAAATATCAACATGATATCACGGTGATATCACCATGATATCACCGTGATATGACTGTGATATCACCTTGATGTCACAATGATATCACCTCGATGTCACCATGTGATATCACCGTAAGGCGGACATTTTGACATTTTCCTGATGTCACGGTGACATTCCCCGGTGATATCACCGTGACATCTGGTTGATATATCGTGCTACTTGGGTGCATAAAATTAATCCTGGGGATGTAAATAACAACTTAAAAAAAATAAACCAGCAAATATTACGTTTTAAAGGAAGAAACTTACGTATTTTGTGAAAAATAGCGATTTTGTCCCCATTTACCCCAACTGCCCCTATTTAAAAAAATTTAATTTTTATCTTTAAATTTTGCCTTAGTTCATTTACTGTTATATCCGCACTTTGAGAATTCTGTCAAAGAACTAATCGACAAAAGCACTTAAAAACAATATATGTACATGTGCTAGTAACAAAAATGCTTTTCTTATCTTAGAAACTTAAAACTCTTACCAAAACCGAAAAATTTATTTTCAATTTTTAGAATTTTCATTACAATAATGTTTTACTGATTATTATGTAAAGTAGAAGTAGAAAAGATTTGATTAGAATATAAAATTGAACTTCATAAATCACAATAATTCAAATTTTGAATATGGTTGGGCAAACCAAAAAAATAATAACATTTTATCGATTATTGGTGCCAATTATCGACTCAATGTAAGAGTCGATTAATAAATTAAATTTAAGAACTTAATTCATGTATTAAAATTATAAAAAATTTGTAAAAAAATTCAATTTAATAGATGAATAATTATTCTGAGTTTTCGTTTCATATTTATTTATTATGTAATGTATTATTTTTATTATTATTAGGCAACTGCATACAAAAAGCACGAGCTCGTAAATAAATATAACTAAATAAATAAGTATACGTATCGAAGAAGGGCACGTAGTTTTTTTGTTTGGAATAAGGAGGCCCCGTACGCTCAAATATTTGAAACTAGATTTAAGAACTGATTGCTCTTAAAAATGCTCTATAAAGAATCAGAATTAGAACTCTATAAATCATCAATATTAAATGCAACATCAAATTATTATATTACAATCTACGAATCATAAAATGAAGGCTTTAAATAACTAATTTGAATTATATAAAAAAATTATTTTTTTAATACAAAACTTTTAGCATCTCGAAGAAATTCATTTAGATAATTATAACTTATAATAATTGTTTTGTAAACTCTACTTTCATGTGAATTGTTTTACGAATCATATGGATAGCCAATGTCATGCACTTGGTCAGAAGCGATAAATAGCAAATTGTTGTGACGGAAAAAAACTGATGGAAGGTTTAAGTGTAGTCAATGTGTAGTCGGGAAATTGAAAGGTTTTAAATCGAAAACGACTTGAATGAAGATCTCGCTTGGTTGCGTCTGGTAATAAGCAGTCACTCACTATTCCATCTTATTGACAAGTGATGTCTGCGAATGGTCGACAGTACAGTACTTGCGGTATAGTGTATAGTTAAACAATTTTTTTCCTCTTTTGTTCAAGTCAGTTGCTTTTACTTTAAATCGTTTTATTTTTACTGACCATCTAGGAAATATGATGTTTTTAATAACCCCAATGCAATTGCTTTTTTATGGAACGAAACTGTAAATTGTTAAATAACGATTGAAATTAGTTTTACGAGAAAGATTTCAAGTGTAAAAGTGCAAATTAACATTGAAATCTAATGTTGTACATGTGGTTTCAGTTCAGCACCAAATGAATGTCACTGGTGGATTTGTCTCTTCCGGTCGGATGTCCAACATCTATAACAGTTCGGTGGTCAGATTCTACGACCATGTCTTTACAGATTTATCTGGTGAGTTCTTGCTATATTTGAATGTAATAATTTTACATTTTACCTAGACAATTAAAAGGGACCAAGGCCCGAAAAAATTAATAGATAGAAAATAGTTTTTTCTATCAGAATTATCAATCAATAAAGTATCGATTTTTTCCAAGTCCCTTTTAACTGTCCAGGTCACATATAATAAATTTTAAAGAAGGCAATTAAAATTTGTCTTCTTGACAGATTGTTGAATTAAAATTAAATTAAATTTTTTTATTTTAAGTAAAATTTATATAATTTTATAATAAAAAAGTCTATAAATGTGTGAAACAAAACAACCATATACAAGTTTTTTAATCATAAAATTATCAACAGAAAGGTTTTAATAAAAAGCAAATATTAAGATTTGTATAGTTTTAACTTAATTCGAGCGTGTAGTGGGGCAAAATTACCAATATTATTGGTTCTTATTTAAAATTTATTTATTATTGTTTTAATGAGTAAAGCAGTGGAAAATTTATAATAACATTGTGCTAGTTCAAAAATTGAACAAACTGGGCATATCAGTGTATTTACCAGTTTGGGTACACTGAATTCAATAGCGTTAGCCGTTTTTCAAAATCGGGTCATATTTTCAAAAATTCGCCATTTTGTATTTTTGTGGTTCAATATCAAAACCTCCCAGATAACAAAATGTTTAGCCTTAATTCGCTCGACAAGGGGAGGCTATGAAAATTTTTAAGAAAATGTCTCTTATAACGACATGAACTTAAATTTCAATCAAGTGAACTCTGCATACATTCCAATTTTTTCGTAAATAAATTAAGTAACATTGTTGATAAAGCAAATTTTTTTTAACAAACTAATATAATTTATATAATGCCAATACTTAATCAACACTCATTTCTTTATCAAAATTTTCTTATATGCCCTGGCGGATTGGTTCAAGCGTATTTTGAGCGTTTTCGCTTAGAAATCGCTTAACTTCGCTTAAATTCGCTTAGAGTGAAAATTTATCGATAAATTGTTAAAAAAATGATATAAAAGTGAAAAATAAAGATAAATTAGTGTTTTCGTAGATGATTTGTGGAAAAATTGTTATAAATTAAACATTAAATAAAAAGTTATTAATGTTTAAAGTGATGTCGATAAAGTGTCAGTTTAAGTGTGTTTTCTTTTATTAATTTTGAAGAGAAATATGTGAAATGTGATAAAAATGATAATTTTTGTCAATAAATTATTACCTATAATATTAATTGCAGTAATTTTCGCCCTTATTTAGTGTTAAAAAAGCTTATATTTGTTTAATTTTTCATAGTGTATTTTACAATGTGTCATTTTACCTGTTATGTAGCTGTGTTGTGAAATCGGGCCACAATTTAGTCCAATAGCTTTATTGATATCAGCATTTCATTAGATTATACGTGAATAAATGATAAATGAATTTTGCACATAAATAACGCATTATAATTAATAAATAATTTTTAAAAAGTTCAAAAACAACTTTTCCGTTTTTTTTAATTTTAATTTTTTCCTAATAAAAAAATGTTTTTACCTATTAAAAATTAATGAACTTGCAGAAAATTTTTTTAGTGAATAATCATTTTTTAAAATTACAAAATTAATTTATTAATTTTCAATAGAAGGAGGAGCCATTATCAGTAAGTATTTATTAATTAATAGTAATAATTAACAAGTTAATTATTACTAATAATAAACATTTTTTTTAAAAAATAGGTTCAAAAAATCAGTTTTTTGCAAAAAATAAAGTGTCTAAAACTCTAAGTAATTTAATAAAAAAAACGAACCGTTTAGGTCAAAAATTGACCGAGATTTAGCTTCCGCAAAAAACCAATTTTTTTGAGATTTTAGCCAAAATCCGGTTTATTCAGTTTTTACAATCTAGGTTTGAAATAAATGGTTTTCTGAGAAAATGACCAACAGGAAAGTTAAAGCTGACAAAATTCCTGACAATTTGCAAAAAAGAATCATGTAATAGCTCTAATAGTTTCCGAGATACAGTATCTCAAAGTTGACTCTTTTGAGATTTTACGTACAATCTCATTTATTACCATTGCATTCCCTTTTGAGATTTTACACAAAATCTCAGTTATAACCATTGCATGTAAAATCTCAAATTGGTCAACTTTGAGACACTGTATCTCCGAAACTATTAGAGGTGTTACATTGTATAGGAATATCTAAAAAACAAAAATTGTTTTTTTTCTAAAGTGGAAGAGAGAGAAGTATTGTTTTACTTATGCGCATCTTTGGCAACTATTTTGATTTTGTTTGCTTCACGGAATAACTAGCTGTTAGTAATTTGGTGCTTTGGTGTCACTCACGTGCAAGTTTTTATGTTTACACTTTTTGGTCTATTTTTTGCATTTTTAAAGATATCGATACGTATTTTTTTTAAATAATCTAAATTTATCGAGGGATTCAATAGTGTATTGACCTTAACATTTTATTTATCTACTTTTTTAATATATGATAAAAAGTGAGCGTCGACGCAACGAGGTTAATTGTGCTGCTGTCAATCGCTACATAACCATAATCTACTGTTGCCTCGTTTGTTCGAATAGTTATTCCAACACGAAATCAAGAGAAAAGTTGATTCAATGCATAGTTTGCAAAAACTGGGCACATTTAAAATGTGTGAAGGGTAAAAAAAGGGTCAGTTATATGTGTGTCAATTGTAAATTCAATAAAACGCATTCGGAATAAGCATTCATGTCTTAAAAATTATTTATTAATCAGAAAGTAGAGATTTTACAATTAATTAACGATACAAATAATTATTTCAAAAAATATTTTAAAAGACTGACTAATTATGTAATTGTAAAATTTAAGTCAGAAATGTTTATTTATTTACAAAAATCTATAAATGTCACGATTGTTGGAAAAATCTTTTGAATGTTTATAATAAAAATACTTATTACAAAAACTATATTTTAAGTGACTGACTAACTATGCAATTATAGAAAATAAGTCAGAAAATGTTTATTTGTACTTACTAAAATCTATAAATCTTAAGATTGTTCCTAAAAACCTTTATACGTTTATAACAAATGATTAATAAATAATAGTAAATCATTTATTGTCAATAATTATTTTCTTTCTTACGCGTAAAATCAGTTGCTTTAACTGAAACAACTAAAAGATCTGAGCGGCACAACTCTCCCTAGCGCGGAGTTCAACGTGCCGTGTTGCCTCGCTGCATAAAATCATTTTTTACAAAAAAACTTTTGAAAATTATCAAAACATAATAATGGATTTCAAAACTACATTACATTTTAAAATAGATAGACAAAACAAAATGTTCTCATTTTACTAGCATTTTATTTAGTTTTCTCGAAATCGGCACTTTCAGCACCGGTCTCTCCTATACAAATATAATTACATGAAAATTAGTTTTCAAGAAAATTTCGTGAAATAATTTTTAGATTAAGTTTTTTTGTGGTTTTAAGTTTATTTGGTTAAATTAAAATATGCTCAAATAGAAGTATGCTCCAATAAAAATGTGAACAAGGAAAAACTCTGTGAAACATGCAAATATAATTAAGGAAAATTAGTTTTAAAGAAAATTTCGTCAAATAATTTTTATGTTAAGTTTGTTGTGGTTTTGAGTTTATTTGGTTTTGGTTAAATTAATTAATTAATTAATTGTCACAACTGATTACAACCATAACCAGGTCATTTCTGGTAAATCCCTTCAAAAAATTAATCTAATTTTTTAAAAATTAAACACTAGGAAATTGACCAGATACTATAATAGCTTGCAGCCAAGTCAATTCATGTTTTCTTCTAAACCAAGTATTTTCGAAATGTCCAAAGTTTATAAAAGCATTAAAGTTATATTTTTTATATTTTGTAAACATTGAAATAAATTTTCAAAGTTTAAAATTGTTAACCCGGCGAGCGTAAGGTTTGAATTTGTAACACTGAGCGTAATGGAAGGTATTTTTTACCCTGCAATGATTTTCTTTTTACGTATTAAAAAACCTAAATTCATTGAAGTTTTTTAAAATGAATTTTTAATTGCGAAAGTATTGAACTGAGTATAATTTAATGTGGAATTTAACCAAGTAACTTAAAACCACAACAAGTTTAATCTAAAAATTATTTCACGAAATTTTCTTGAAAACTATTGCCGCTAGGTGTCAGCTACTAAACACGTGTTCACATGTGTCTCGGTTGATTTTTTTTTAAATAAAACGGGTTAAGTTTGGTCCGTTCTTTCATACAACAATATAGTTAAACATTATTTTGTGCTTGTTTTTTGTGAAAGTTTTTATGATCTACACCATTTGCCTTAGCTTGGCTCTCTGATTTGAATTTTTTCTAACCTAACATTGAACTCATATATTTGTGTGAAGTTTTTTGTTTATCAAACTTTATAAGATCTGCTTTTTCTCAATTTATTTTTTGTTTTTGCTTAAGTGATTATTTGTGTGCAAAAATAGCCTCTAGTATTGTAAATTGTGGAAAATATGGCAAAGATATTACACGTGCTATTCCTACAATCTGTAGGAAGTGTAATCTTCCTTATCATCCTAGCTGTGCATTACAGCTTTCTACTCTGCCTGATGGGTCGTTCGCCAGATGCTGTAAACCTAGGTCATTGTCTCCTTCAAATAATTCTCAATCTTCACAAACTTCTGTTAAATTGGATAGTATTTTGAGAGCTATTAAGGATTTATCTACAACAGTTTCTGATAATTTCTCTACTATGACTGATAATATGTCAGATATCAACAAAAAACTTGATGACACACTGTCTAGGCTGAGTAATATGGAAAGCAGAGTTTTTGATTTGACAGAGCGTCTTAATGTTGTCGAAGAGAGACTTGATAAATCTGAGGCAAATGGTTCTACAAAGATTGATTCTAATTCAATGTCTCAATCTAATTCGATTACTAATGTCTGTATTAATGAACTTGTTGATTGAAATGAAAGAAAGAACAATCTTGTTTTATTTAATCTTCCAGAATATGACACTTTGTCAAATCGCACATCCACTCTTACAG